TCGTCATCCCTTGGGGCGCTCTGGTGAACAAACGTTCCCCCAGATGCTGGTGGTCACCCCTGATAAACTTGTAGGTGGCCATCAGATCACCCCTGAGCCTGCGCTTTTCCAGGCTAAAGAGCCCCACGGCTCTCAGCCTGTCATCGTAGGGTCTGCTTCCCTGACCTCTGATCATGCGCGTGGCTCTTCTCTGCACTCTCTCAAGCTTCTCCACATCCTTTTTGAATTGTGGAGCCCAAAACTGGACGCAGTACTCCAGCTGCGGCCTCACTAAGGCCGAGTACAGGGGGAGAATGACGTCCCGGGATTTGCTTGAGAAGCATCTATGGATGAAAGCCAGCGTTTTGGTCGCTTTACTAGCCGCAGCATCGCATTGCAGGCTCATGTTCATCTTGTGGTCAACGATGACCCCCAAGTTACTACCTTATAAGCTAGATGTGAGAGTTGACAGTGGATAAATTATTCATTTACTTTGTTGAACAGTCAGAACAAGGCAGTGGAGATGCTAAAAGGGATTGAATGGTATTTAGTGATGGTGCAGAAAAGATAACAGAGCACTACTCAGCATGCTTATCTTGGGTTTGCATCAGTTTGGAAGGTGTTTCCTTCAGGGTACTGTATAAGGAAAATAAAGACCAAGTAATACATATTCTACAGTTTCAACATAGTTCTGGGTATTTTCAGTACAGTCAAATACAAGGAAAGTACATTTTTCTGGCAGTAGCCAATACTTGTCACATTAAGGACTGTCTTAGAACTAGGGATTACGTCTGCATCTGGCAGTATTTAATCTGTATGCAGTAAATTACTGTAGTCTGGGAAGACACAAAACAATTGAAGTTCTTAAAGGGTGGAAACTTATCACTGGTGAGTGTGCATCAGTTGACCTGTTTATGTGTCGTGTGTTGGTTTCTACTTTGTGTGCTAGAAACACTGTTGAAAAGATTCCTTTTCCTTAGGAATATGTTAAAGAGTGTTCTGTATTTTAAAACTCTTTCTACAGGGTTCGGCATAAGCAAAATAAGTATCCGGTGTTGTTTCTGACCCAAGGAAAATCTGACATTTATCCAGACCTTATGGATCTCAGGAGTCGTACAACTTCTATTGCAATGAGTTTTGCACAATTTGAAAATTTGCTGGTAAGTTGTTACATTTCTTTATTCGTCAGTGAAATGGAACTAGTTTATTACTGTATTCTATAATTGCTGATATTGATGACTGGATACAGAAACTGAATTCTAAAATGAGATGATCAGCAAATTATTAGTACAGGAAAGTGTTGAGAGTCTGCTAAAGTGATACATTTTCTTGGGTGCAAAGTAGGCCGGCTGACACGTGAAGCCGCCCCAGCTCCCATGCAGTGCGCAGTGCCCTGCTGAGCTACACTGCACCCGTGCCATGGAGCAGCTGCTGCGTGGGTGCCAAATGGTGGGTGGGGGGGAATCCCTGTTGCCCCGCACTGTG